AAAGAGATCCCTGGGGGCTGGTGGATCCCATGGAAAGACCCCCTTGGGAAGGGGCCACTATCCCGAGCTCTTCCCGGTGCTGATCCCACAGAAACCCCATGGGAAGGGACCGTTACCCCAAGTGCTCCCCCCAGTACCAATCCCACAGAAACCCTCGGGGAAGGGGCCGTTATCCCGAGCTCTTCCCGGTGCTGATCCCACAGAATCCACCCTGGGGAAGGGGCCGTTATCCCGAGCTCCTGCAGTGCTGATCCCACAGAATTCACCCTGGGGAAAGGTCCATTCCCTGACCCCCCCAGTGCTGATCCCACAGAATCCCCCCCGGGAAGGGGCCGTTATCCCGAGCTCTTCCCACACTGCCGATCCCACCAGGAAGGGGGAAGGTTCCATTCCCTGACCCCCCTTGGTGCCAATCCCACCGGGAAGGGGGAAGGCTCCGTTCCCCGACCCCCCCGGTGCCGATCCCACCGGGAAGGGGATCAGGCTCCGTCCTCCCACGCCCCCCGTGTCCCACCTTGCGCGTGGCGTGGTTGAGCATCTCCTGCCAGGTGGGGTCCAGGCGGTTCTTGCCGGCGGCCACGCCCTGCTCTGCCACGAAGACCATCTCCCGCGCCGCGTTGTGCATCCCCACGGCGCGCTCGTACCGCAGGGCCGCCCGCTGCGTCTCCTGCTGCGCCTGCAACCACGGGAACGCCGGGAATGCCGGCTCCAGACCTTCACCCGGGGGGTCCACGGGGTTTTCCCGGGGTCTGGGAGCTCCTCGGGGCAGCAATTCCCAACCGGGAGCGCCGGGAGCTGAGCCCGGGTGGGTGGGGAGGAGGGAGGGGGACCCGGAATTCCCAACCTTTCCCAGGCTTTTCCAGGCACCGGGAAGTTAATAAACGGGAAACAAGGGCTGGGAACCTGGAATTCCCGATCTGAACCCCTTTGCCCAGGTTTTCCTGGGATCTGGTACCTCCTCGGGGCACTGATTCCCAACCGGGAATTGAGCTCGGGGGACGGGGACAAGGGTGGGGGACCCGGAGTTCCCAACCTTTCCCAGGCTTTCCCAGGGACCGGGACGTGAATAAACAGGTGGGAGACGAGGGTTGGGAACCTGGAATTCCCAATCTGAGCCCGTTTCCCGGGGTTTTCCTGGGATCTGGTGCCTCCCCGCTGCACTGATTCCCAACCAGGAGTTGAGCTTGGGGGATGGGGACAAGGATGGGGGACCCGGAATTCCCGACCTGTGCCCCTTTTCCAGCCTTTTTCAGGGACTGGGACACTTGGACACCAGGGAAAGGGAGGGAAACAAGGATTGGAGACCTGGAATTTCCAATCAATGCCCCTTTTCCAGTCTTTTCCAGGGATTGGGACACCAGTGAAGGGATGGGTGACAAAGCTTGGGGACCAGGAATTCCCTTTGCCAGGGTTCCTTCTCCAATCCGAGCCCCTTTTCCAAGGGTTTCCCCGGCTCTTTTCCCAGGATTTGGCACCTCCCTGGCTCAGCAACTCCCAGCTGGGAGTGCCGGGAGCGGAGCTCAGGGAACGGGACACCGGGGAGACGACGGGAAACAGGGATGGGGGACCCGGAATTGCCCTTCCCCGGTACCTCCTTGGCTCTCCGGCGGGCCTCGTAGTAGGGCCGGGCCCTCTCGATGCAATTCCCGAGCTGGGAGCCTTGGGAATTCAGCTTCCGGGCCGACTCGGACAGGATCCGGCGGTAGGCGGAGCGGGCGGCCTGGGACGGGGCGGGAACGGCCCCAGTTACGGACTGGGGGCACTGGTTTGGCACTGGGAGCCCCGGCAGGGCTGGGGGAGAAGGATCTGGGACCAGTTTGGGACTGGGAAAACCAGTGAGGGGACTGAGGGCACCAGTTTGGGGCTGGAAAACGAGGATCGAGACCAGTTTGGGAACAGGGTCCCAGTGTGGGATTGGGGACGTGGATTGGGAACCAGTTTGGGACTGGGGAC